GAAGTTCACTGAGTATTTGGTCTCGAGTGATGCGCTAAGCAAAATGTACCAGCTCAGTTCAGTATAACAGCTAATGGTGTCCTCGTTGGGCTGGCTCCGCTTCACATATGGGCGATATTGGAAAGTTTGTGACGAAGGTTCGCTCTTATCTGCGCGAGGCGGAAGGCCTACCGTTGAAGTTTGGAGGTCTGATCGAGGCTCAGGAAATCATGGCTATTCACGCAGTCTTGTATGGCGGCCAGTGTCGGCTTACAGAGTCAGAATTGAAGTTTGCGCAGGAGTGCGCTCGCCGGACAATAGCAGGATCTATTGAACTCGAACCTAACGCCTTTAATCGGCTCTTGTATGTCGTCGCTAGCACAGCTCATGTGGAAGGTATCGAAGACATCGCGGTTGAATTGTTCCGTTATGGCCAGAGAAGGAGCAGTGGATTCGACGAGGTCTCAATTGCCGGGCTCTGCAGCTCGTTGGCAATGTTCGCCGATCCGGGGAACCTGAACGAATCCTATCGGATGAAGGTTAAAGAGCTCATGTCCAATGCTCTGCAGATTGCGGAGATGTGGCAGAAACCGGACCACGACAGGGCTAGCACTGCTAAGCTGGTTAACTGGTTTTTGCTTTGCGCGAAATATGAGTGGCAGTTACCTTTGTCAGCCTGCTTGGAAGCATTGCTCGCCGAGACGGCACAACATTGTCAGGGCCGGCACCTGGGTATCCAGTCTTCGGCTGTTCAGAATAGCGGCCATAAGGGAGTGCGGGAGGCCATAGCAGGCTGTGCCACGGAGCTTCGAGTTGTCGACGAGTGGCAGTGTCCGAAGACGCGTTGGTATATTGACGCCGCGATTGTTGGCTCTGGAGGAGAGCCGGAGGTTCTAATAGAGTGTCAGGGCAGAGTTCACTCGAGGAGTCCGTACCTCCAAGCGGATAAGCTGAGGCTGAGGATTCTGAGGGCCATTTATGGGCAGGAACGAGTGGTTGAAGTCGATGGAGTTGGAGTGGGATTAGCTGGGTTCGCGAAACATTCGAGAGAGCAGGTGCGGAAGGCTGTTGAACTCTTGAATTTGACGAACAACCAACGAGAGTCTGTTTCCGACATGTGAGTGTTTCTGACATTACCGTTTGTTCCGTTTGTAAGGGTTAGTGCATCTGTTGAGCTCTAATGGCCAACCTCAGACTTTTCTCATGGTCGCTCTACAGCGTTCAGGAGTGAGTTTGCAGCCGTATTCTTTCACTGCTAAACTGCGGTGTTGTGACAGCTCTCGAAAGGTGCTTACTCTGGTGAACACTTTCCCCGATATGCTAACGGATGCTAGGAATACTGAAGCTGTCATGCACAGGGTGGCCTCCTTTCCCCCCAGTAGCACTGTGCACGAGCTCTTTCAGAGGGTCGCGACAGAGATTACGCGTGAGTCCTTCCCGAAGGAAGTCCGTTGGGACAACTCGAGCCTTATGCAAGTGCTCCGGTCTGTTGTGGACTTTCGTGTTCGGAGTCCCCTTCTCTGTCATGGTCAGTCTGCCAGAGCAATGCTGGAATTCTTGGCACTGCGAATTGACCCAGACTGCTGTACACTCGAGGAGGCTGCTCGTGTTATCTCGTCGCTTGCGAGAATCAAGAGTCTCGTTATTGATTCTGACGCGTCCATAATATGATCGGCAAGTTCTTGAATGAAATAGAGGCCGGTCTCGACAACGACGATGTTCCCACGATGAGCGCACTGGCGACCAGCGTATGGGGAATGGTGGAGCTTCTTGGGTCTTCTCATCCTGAGCAAGTACGTGCAGTTGTTAGTAAGGCAGTCGACTACCTATCGATGCATCAGTTCGCGGAATTGCAAGTTACCGGCATCCTCATGGTTTTACAGACGATCGCGCAGTGCAAGAAGTTGCGGATCAAATTAGAATATGCAGAAGATTTCTGGAGTCACATCGCAGGCCGACTCTACCAAACCGGTGTCGATGGGGCTTCACTTGCCTTGCTCATCAAAGCCCTACAGCGTCTTTCGGATGCCCCATCAAATGTGTGGGGTGACCTAATATCCCTTACTGTCCTCAACAACAGCGTGCATGAGCTCAGTCCTGGTGGGCTCGCAAGCTCTCTCAGGGCGATGGTTGTGCCTGTAAGGTACGCAACGACCGTGGACACGACCGCCTTGGCTAACTTGGTTTTCGAGTACATCGAGAAGGAGCCCGAGGGGCGCATCGGCCCTGCTCACATAGTGGACATATGCTGGAGTGTTTCCATCCGGTCTCACGTTCTGCCCGAGCCTATTCTCGGCGACTTGGTATCTCTCGCTGCGGCAATCGCACAGGGTTGCGGCACCGTGCGAGACATCACGATCGGCCGCCTCTCTGAGGTCCTTGCACGGTCGACAGTTTATCGAGGTGAAATCACCTCTGAAGTTTTCAGCTTCTTAGCCTATGCTACATCCAAGCGCTCGTGGAAGTCAACAGTCGCTCTATCGTTGGTCACCGATGCTGTGGCTCATATCGCCGACAGTCGGTTGCTTGATATGCAGCAAGTGGAAGATCTTCTAATGAGTATGTTGAATTTGCCTCGTGGGCAAACGGTGAAGTCTCTCGTCTGCGCGGAAGTTGAACACAAATTATCGTGCCTGACTACAAGTCAACGTGACGAACTACAGCGCGCCCGAGGCACTGCGAATTACCTCATCGTGGATATCCAAGGCGCCGAGCACGATCGTCTGTTTGCCATGCATTTAGCAGAAGAGATCCGTCGTCGCGAATTGCCATTGCGTGTGTCGACTTCATGGAGGTGCTCTCGAAGTCTATGTGCGGCCGACTTGACACTGCTCGCGACAGAAG